CACATCTAGATGTGTATAAGAGACAGGATTAATATTAATATTAATCCTGTCTCTTATACACATCTAGATGTGTATAAGAGACAGGATTAATATTAATATTAATCCTGTCTCTTATACACATCTAGATGTGTATAAGAGACAGGATTAATATTAATATTAATCCTGTCTCTTATACACATCTAGATGTGTATAAGAGACAGCATCTCCTCTTCCCAAATTGTCCACTTTCGTGCACAATCTGAGCGTCGATTGGGGAGACTTTACTGTACCGGGTGTCCCGAAACGACGCCGCGCCGCCGTCAAATTACACCGGAGCATTGTGGTTTAATTATAAAGAATGAACGGGAGGGAAAGGGGTTTGCGTTCACCGTCGCGATATTATCGTACGAGGGCTAAGTGAGATATAGCCACGCGAATAAGAGGATGCAAATTGTTGTACAAACTTACCTGTGGCATGCTCGGCTTTGCGAAACGTTAACATGCTCGCCGGCGATGAGTGAAAATAACCGAGGGCACTATTTTTCGCGTAGAAAATTAAGAGGATCGTTGCTGAAATATTTTCTCTGTTCAAAACAGTGGAATTATTCAAATATTTAACGAACGTTAACCAAATCTCTCAAATTAATCGTCAACTCGTATATTATCTATAGAACTTTCATTGAGCCAGTGCGGGGATTTTTTAATTATAATATTTATTCAAACGAATAATATCAATTTCGTTTAGCATAAAATTTCTAGCATAAGATTTTCATTTTTTTTATTACTATTGGATCGAGCCAGTATGTAAGCTATAGACATACTAATTTTATTATCTACATAATTGCATTTTATATTGTTCAATTTTACGCAGTGATAAATTAAAGCGATAAATTAAAGCGATAAATAAAGCAATAAAAATGAATAATTCACAGCTTCTTTCCGACTATTCAATTCGATATTAATTATATTCACTGCGCACACCGAATCGATTGATAAAAATTTGATTTCATTCGAGCCACCGAAGCTAAGCTAATAAACAATAAATATTCATAGGGATTTTCTTGTTTTTTTTTTATTCTCGAGAAAAATGCATGCGAAACAACGATGTTTTCTGCACGCGACGACAGAAAGAAAAAAAGTACCGAAACAAAATACGCAATTAAGGAAGAGATTTATCGTCGAATAGGGTTGTCGATAGAAAAAAAGAGACGCGTTTAAAAAGTTTGTCCGACGGATTAACGGCAGAATCGCTCCGCGGAGAGGAGAAGAAAGTAAATTTATTAAAGGAGCCCGCGATCGTGTTCGACGGAGTAATATCCGGGCGACAAAAATTTCAATTCGAGGCGACAGAAGCAATTACCCTCTAAAAAGTGAGGCGAACAAGGGGACTGCAGATAAATTTCCCATGCCGGCCACGTAACAGACTCTGTCGAAGTAACATAACGAAACGATGAAACAACTTCATCTCGATCTGATCAAGCACGAATATCGCGAGCAGCGCGGGAAAAGCGTTAATTAGATTCCGAAGATATCGACAACGACAGAAATTTTCTGCAACTTTGTTTCCAACATTTCAACTTTCAGCAAGAAGTTTATACAGGTTGTTCCCCCGTAAAGGCACTCGCAATCGTGAAACAAGGGGTTCCCGACACGAAGGAGATCATTCGGAGCAACATTTTCCTCGGCGAAAATTTTCTCCGCGGCTTCGTTTACGAGTTATCAGCGAAAAACACTGGCCAATGACTGACAAGCTCTGCTGGCGCGAGGCGGTCTCGCTCCAGTAGGCGGGGCTGCGCTTCGTGCGCTCGTTGGCTCGGCGGCCTCGCGCCAACAGCGCTCGCCGCTCATTGGCCAGTGTTTTTCGTTGATAACTCTTGAACGAAGCCTCGTAGAACATTTTCGCCGAGGAAAAAGTTGCTCCAAATGACCTGAGGAATCCCTGTAGCTACGATTGCTGGTTGCTCTCGGGACACCCTGTAGGTGAAACGACGTTCGGAGAACATCTCTTTTGCATGTTTATCGCGCATAAATGCCCGCGGTCGGGTAAATGCCGGCGTAAAAGCTGAACGATGGAGTTAAGGGAAGGACGGGAATGGACAAGAAGATGGATGGAAGCGCGGATAATCGAGCAGTTCGCACTAACTTCTGTTTTACGGGATACGTGACGGTTTTGCGGGCGGCGAGACTCATTGGTAATTAAACGCGTCCTCGGTCGGGCCGGTTCGTCGAATACGCGCTCGAAAGGCGAGTAGCAGTCCGGGATCGCGATCAAGATTGAAGATCGAGGGAGCCGGGGGAGCGATAAAGGCGCGTGTTTATTGGCCGGACATGCTCCCGTGGCACGGGGCTATCCCGTACGGAACGCAACCCTAAATTTAGGGGCCGTAGCCGTGCAAATTTTAATTTTAATATCACGCCGCTATTTTAAGCTAATTATCGACCGGCCCGGCGAGCTACTTCTGGCCGAACTTCGACGGGCGAAAACTTTCTGTTCATCCGCCAGTCTCGATTCATCCGGCCGCGGAACGCGGAACGATTCTCGGCCGTACGAAAAAGCGGCGAACATTTAAATTACGGCGAAAAACCTGCTGGAACAGTACACTTTGAATGGCGAGCAGTAATATTTTATTTTACATCGCGAACGTATCGTTGGAAACGAAACGTTTCCTCGAAAGGAAACGTACCTGTTCGAAAATTACACGTTTCATTCGCTGTAAAATATTTCTAGGATGATATTTCGATTCGTATTTTATTCGAGAAACACTGGAAATATTCGTTTTCGTTATCGCCGAATGAAATATAATTATTCCAGCTGTCTGAAACGGACGAACGTCCCTCTGCGTTATAAATGCGCGTAAGGGATGCACTTTAGAGATAGAGATATTATTATTATTATTTTTATTATTATATATATATAATTTATAAATGTTAATATAATATAATGATATAATATTATAATATAATAATATAATATCATAATAATATTATTAATATAATATCAATATTAATATTATTATAATAACATTATATATAACTCACTTTTATTATTATATATATATATAATTTAAAAAAATGTTAATATAATATAATGATATAATATTATAATATATATTAATATTATATATATAATTCATATTTATTATAATATAATAATATATTATAATAATATTATTATTGTATTATTATAATATTATAATATAATATTATATTACATAATATCAATATTAATATTATTAACATTATATATAATTCACATTTATTATTATATATTACTATTTACAGATATCATGACTTTTTACTTGTAATCTCGTTTACATATAATTAACTGTATATTATTACTACTATAATTATCTGTTTAATTCTACTAATAACACAAGGACATCGACTGTTAGATTAAATAAAGTCAATCTTTATTTCATGCACTTCCCGTTTATACAACGCTTCAGCCGCAACGATCGTTGCGCCTTTCACTATACAAATACAATAATACGCTCAGCAGCTGAACGTTTTCACGATCGCCGCTCTCTTTATTATCGTCCACGTAAATCGCACGATTTTCGTCTCGGGGAAGGAAATTGTTCGTCGTTCTCTCGTCGAACGTGTGAACCAGATCGGCCGCGTTTAATTAGGAAACGCGCGCACACGCGCCGCATTGACCGCGAAGTACGTACAATACATCCTAGACCGTAATCGGACCGGGGTGAGTTTCCGTAAAATATATTTCTGTCGGTTGATTAATGCGGTTGATTAATTAAGATACGCATAATTTGTTTAAGAGACGCGAGTGGAAACGAGTGGATCAAATGCAAAAAACGATGAGAACATTTAGAGAATTATTAAAAAATTGCATTGTTTTCAGAATGTTATTTTACCGAATAATATAATTAACGAAAAGAAAAAACGTCTACGAAGTTTCTATATCTTGCAATAAATTATTATCGCTGCTATTATTATTATTATTATTATTATTATTATTATTAATATTATTATTAATGCTGGCAATTTTTATTTTGCACGAAGATATCCGCAGTTTAATTATTGCACACATACACACACGCGTACACACATGCACTCGCACTCGCGCACGCACGCACACAGTTCCGTCGCACAGAGCAGTTAAAATTGCTTGTGTGCATGTTTTTTGGACAACCACGGTTCCACGTTTCCGGAACAACCGTAAAATAGCTGCGGCGTTACGAAATCATTTCGCCGAAAAATCACCGCCGAGATGTACGAACGACAAAGCTTAGAATAGAATTAATTGCTACATTATACATAGTATCGTTGCCTGGCTATTCCCGGAAGTCTTGAAAGAGATTCGCCGGGATTACGCTTCGCTTCGCTTCGCTTGCACGGAGATTGCAGAGGCACAGCTTCTTCGTATTTATTTAGCTTTTATTAGCCGGCCGTCCGTTCCGATGGAGGACGCGTTTATGCCAACCAAGTGATCGAGCTAACGTCACCGAATTTGTTCCAGTAAACGTTATCGTGTCGCTTAAAAAATAACTGTTTGCGAGACACGATGAAATAATTTTCTTACACGAGCAGACAGATTTTTGGCTAATTGTACACTTGGTACAATCGTTCTTCTTATAATTATTTGAATCAATTACTTTCTCCGATCTCAAGATTAATTACTGCTACTTACTAATATTAATATTAATATTATATTAGTTATATTAATATTAGTACTAATATTAATTACTTACTAATATTAATATTAATATTAATCTTAGTAGTAGTATTAATATTAATATTATATTAGTTATATTAATATTAGTACTAATATTTTAATTACTTACTAATATTAATATTAATATTAATCTTAGTAGTAGTATTAATATTAATATTAATCTTAGTAGTAGTATTAATATTAGTGTTAATATTAGTAGTAGTATTAATATTAGTACTAATATTAGTAGTAGTATTAATATTAGTACTAATATTAGTAGTAGTATTAATATTAGTATTAGTATTAACAACTAGTGGTAATTTGTACAATATATAATTAATTATGTAATATATTAATGTTAATACTAATATTATTAATATTAGTATTAGTAATTACCACACTAGGCGGCGTTCGTTTCTCCACGGATAAAAGAAAATGATGTCTTTCGACGCGAAAAGTATGTCCAGAAGCTCTCAAGACCTCCGAGGTCCTCCGTTCCGGTGAATAAGCCGTCGTCAACTAGTTTGCTACCCTCCGAACGACTCGTTTACGACTCCTCGTGCTCGCTTGGCCTGGCCAAAGTGAAGTCCAGGATCTCGTCGGACGTCAGGAACCGGACGTCGCTGTCCTCGGACAACGCCGAACCGTTTGCACCCCTCTTGTATGTCTTTCGCTTTCTCAGGATCACGATCGCGACGATCAGAGTGATCGAGGTAGCCGCCAGAATCGCGACCACCACGCCGACCATTCCCGGAAGGCTGAACTTCGAAGTCCCGCTGTGTAGCTTCTCGAGGTCCTGCCGTGTCACGTGCGGATCTACGGAGTAAACGCCGGTGTTATAGTTCGCAGCAGGAGATATAGGCCACTTTCTGTCGATAAACAACGATCTTGGCTACCGATTTACCCGGGACCGTGAACACCTGCGAACGTTCGCCGCATCGAACGTGCACGTAAGTTTATTTTTAGGGTAGCTAATGTATATTTTCGGTTCGCAAGTCGGTTCTAAAAAAATGCTTGCACGGGAAACGGTGTAATTGAAATTTCTGCCAACTATAATTACTCTGAAAATCTGCTACAATTTGAATTTCCATTAAAAATCTAGTACATTTTAAATTTCTGTCAAATGTGCAATATGAATCCATTGTAAATGCAGCTTTTATCAAGTCTTACAATCAATTTTACTTGCATTTGAAATCGAGCACAATTTCAATTACTATCGAGAGCCTATGATAATTAATTTTTCTATTTATATTCTCACAAAAATCTACTGCAATCTGAATTTCTATTAAAAGTCTACTACAATTTAAATTAAGAATCTACTGCAATTTAAGTTTCTACGAAGAATCTACTGCAATTTAAATCCATAATAAAAATCCATACTAACTAAATCCTTTACTAAAAATCTTATCCTTAATTTCACTCGCTTAAAATTAAACAAAATTGAAATATCTACTAAAAATCTATCACAATTCATCTTTCTACTAAAAATCTGTATCACATCAGCAAAAATGTTTCTATAAGCAATAATCGAATTGAAATCTCTGCTAAAGATCGATAATTAAATTTTCCATTAAAATTCCCATAAAAATCCACCAAAATTTAAGACTACAATAAAAGTCCATTATAACATTTTTGCGAGCATTTCTGGACGAAATCACTGTGCTCCAGCGAAGATCTCGAACGATCCTATCGAAACAGCGTCGACCGTTCTCCGTGGAAAACGTCGACGTCGAGCAGCCCTTCGACTTTCCCGCGGCGTCGTTCGAAGGGGTCGAGCCGTCGCGAGCCGTCAAACTGTGAACACGATTACGAATTCCCATTACCGGGTTGCACGTCGACCGGATGGTAACTCTTGGTGACAGTGGTCGTCCGCAGGAACGGCGTCTCCTTTGTTTGCGCGACTTTGGTGGTCGGGGTGGCCGGGGTGGTCGGGGCGGTGCGCCGCGTAGTTTTCAATGGTCTCTCAGTTTTCGGCCTAGTTACGTTCGTAACCCGGATCACAGCGGTGGTGGCCGTCGACGGTTTCAACGAGACGGGGTCGATATCATCCTTCGGGTATATGGAGATGCCTTTGTCGTCCGTATCGCTGACATCGTGGTCAGGAATCGCGGTGGTGAACTCCGCAAATTCCGCGGTTGCCTCCTCGGTGTAGCCTGCGGAATTCAAGGTCGACGTATCAGCGCGACCTTCGTTCTCACTTGCCGGCAACGCCTCGTTAGTTTCAGATTGTTCGCGAGCGATCGGAGCGAGGGCAAACTTCGTTCGTTCGGCGAATAATTTGATATTCCTTCGTAAGGAATATTAGAAATATACTGTTTCCTTATTAGATAATATTCGCTAGTAAGGAATATTCGAAATTATTGTTCGTGATAACGATATAATTTTTATCGACTGTTAACGAATAGTACGGATTGTTGTTCGTAGTAAGAAATAGGGGTGGAATTTTTATTCGTTGGTAACGAACGTTGTGGATTATTATTCGTAATAACGAAGAAGAGTATAATTTGTATTTATTTTTCACGAATACTATGAATTCTTATTCGTAGCAACGAAGACAATTTTTATTCGTTAATTCGCGAGTAACTGTATTTATTCGAAGATGTGTGCAATTATTGGAAAGTCAAATCACAATTTAGTAAACGATCTTTGAAAACGTTTTCCATTTTTACAGTGGATATTATTTTACAGTATTATATTAATATTAATATATTATATTAATATTATTAATAGAATACTGTGACATAATAGCATTATATTAATATTATTAATAGAATAATATATTAATCAATATAGTATTATTTTGCTGCACGATTTTGTTCATTTTCCCATTCTAGTGGCATTAACATATCGAGGTGTTGAACCAAGTTATTAACATATCAAAATCCAGGTTAATTAAGGTATTTAAATCCTCGTTTAATTAACTGTTCAATTCAGATCGAACAGCTTTAAAGAAATTCAGCCATCCCCATTTTTTACGTCGATTTCCATAGAGCGTCGAATTATTTATGAAAGACTGACGCAGCTTTGTAATAGAGGTTTTTGTTAAAAACGGTTGAATTTATGTAGACACGAAGGTAATCGCGTAGAAATGCTTACCCAATACGCAGTATTCAGCATAATCCGGACAGCATACGTAATGTTCAGCGCAGTCGACGGTGCAAAAACACGTGTCAGTCGGTGCCATCGGCATGTGATACGTGAAATTGGTCGCCGCGACATTTTTGCATCGCCCACGGCACGTCAGCTGCGCGTTCACTTGCTCGACTTGATCTGAAAAAGTATCACACAACCGGCACGATAACAAACGGTCACCGACGACGATCAGAAATGCATAATACACGCAGCGAGACTACCACCCCGTCATCTGTAGCTACGAAAGGTCTCGTCGGAGACGAATTTTATTCGTTCTTGCAGTGTTCTCAATCTACCGGAGCCGTTCTTTGCGAGAATTTATTCGTTCATTTTGTATCTATTGATATTTTTTAAAAATGCAATTAATATCTTCTGTAACTACAACTAATTATGATATCTTTTATACTATACTATAACTACAATTAATTGCTATATATCTTTTATAACTACAATTAATTGCTATATCCTTTATAACTACAATTAATTGCTATATCTTTTATAACTACAATTAATTGCTATATCCTTTCTAACTACAATTAATTGCTATATCTTTTATAGCTACAATTAATTGCTATATCCTTTCTAACTACAATTAATTGCTATATCCTTTATAACTACAATTAATTGCTATATCTTTTATAACTACAATTAATTATGATATTATATAATTATAATATAAAAATATATTATAAAATATATTATATAATTATAATTATAATGATATATATAGTAATATTATATAATATAATATTAATTAGAATATCTATTATAACTACAATTAATTATCAAATCTCGTATAACTTGTATCTTATATCTTTTATAACTGCTATTAACTATTCAATCTTGTACAGCTGCGATTAATTATTATAATTTTTATTGAAACATAAAAATGAAATCTTTGATTACATAAATCCACGTGAAACAAATGAACAGAACTGCAGAAAAAAGATTAGCCAGAAAGCTTTAAAATGATAAATAAAATCTTTCGTTATTATTCATATATTTCAGCGAATTTTGCTCGCAAAGCGAACGCTTTTGGCCATTTATGGCGGCCGTATCTCGTAGCTGGATCTTCTTGAACCTGCCTCCTTAAGGTCAACATTGATCTTCCTGTTGGACCCTATTAAAACTTAAATGGCCACGTCGATCAGCAAATGTTTTTTAATAAATTGCTAATACACTTTAACAACTTCGATCAATTCTACGCCAGATTTTGCTGTGACATTTAAATTATCGACGAGAGAAGGGCAGCTTTTAATTTCCATTCGAAAGAATCGAATAACAGAAATCGGTAGTGGATTATCATGTTGGTCCGACAACGTCGTTACGGTGTTAGGTGTATAATTAATAATTCCTAATAATTAAGCTTAAAGTTAAGCTTAATTCAGAGGCGTACAGGCGAACGAAAAAGCAGGGTTTCGATTGATTAAAAACCGGATTACCATCGTCGCTCTCTGTCACGCCCTCGTTGTCGGCTTTGGACGCGTTCGTGCATTTCTCCCCCTGCAAAATGGCCACGTCGTCGATCGCGATGTCGCTTACGTAACTGCTCCCACGGATTCCCTCAATTATGATCTGCAATGAACGAGTAGAATTAAATGAGAGAGAGAGAGAGAGACGCTAAAGAGGGTTGCGCGACCGCCTAACTCGTGAACTTTCGTGAACGCGTCCTGTGCTGCCATTTTGTTTGAAATTTGAGTGGAACGCGTGGGCGACATTCTCCTGTTTCAGGTGTACCTCATTTTTTGGCTAGGATATTCAATCGGTAAACCGTTCTGCAGCGAAACGACGCGCTTCAAATTTATTTGATAATTATTGTAGTTATTTTTGGTGGACGTTCTTGGGCCGTTTTTAGTGCTAATGTGAAGTTAGCGTTAATTTAAAGCACGTAGAACTCTTGCGCAATTATAATGATAGTATAAAAATGATTAAAAGAAATAAATAAATTATTATTAACAATGTAACGTGTTATGTTATCGATAATCAAAGTCTGTTAATGGCTAAGAAAATTATTATTTGTAATTATCTATTCTGTTGTCGCTAATTATTTATTCTGCTGTTGTTAACTAGCTGTTCCATTATTGTTAACTGTGTCGCTATTGTTGTTCCGCTGTCGTTAATTATTTATTCTGCTATTGTTAACGATCTATTCTGCTATTGTTGGCGCGGATTTCGACGAGGGCAGTTCATTCGAATGCGGACGCTTCGGTCGGATAGTTTTATTTCAGAATGCTTTAAAGGGTTCCGAACGTAGGCTTCAGGGGATGAATTTATAAGCGGACTGCGCGAATATATTTAGAACGGACACATTCAACTCGTTGCTTGCACGAACTGTTTTCGGCGAGAAACGAGGGAAATCCGATTTACTCCCGAGTGAACCTTAAGCAGTTCTCCTGTTGTAGACCACCACCACCACCACCCCCTTCTTCTCGCGATTTCTCCTCACGAAGCTGCGAGCGAAATTCTCCGTCGACACGCTACTCCGCGAGATTAAAGGGATCAAATTTAAGCAGATTAAATTTCTACGAAAAATCTATTAGAATTTTAAATTTCTATTTAAATTCCTCCTGAAAGTCTATTGTAATTTTAAACTTCTATTTTTCCTCCCTAAAAATCTATTATAATCTTAAATTTCTCCTAACAGTCTATTGTAATTTTAAACTTCTATTCTTCCTCCTAAAAATCTATTATGATCTTAAAATTCTACCAAAAATTTCTCCTAAAAATCTGTTACAATTATAAATTTCGATCGAAAGTGTACCAAAATGTAAGCTTCTATCAAAAATCCGTTGCAAGTCAAATTTATAACAAACATTCATTATAATTGACGTTGCTCCGGCTTGGAATCGACTCATTTAAATTTCTCTGAAGAAATAATATTCGTCGGAAATATACCTGAAAGCCCGTTTCAACTTTCGGCAGATTGAAAACACCGTGGAGCCACTGATTCCCTTGATTGCCCTTTTTGGAGAACATCAGGTTCACGTATTCCTTCTCCGGTATAGCGAAATAGATGTTCAGGGTGCCTATGGTCACGCCGTACATGTGGTACCTGAAATAAGTTCCACTTAAAAATTATGAAAATATCGTCGCCTAAATGCGAGCGCGTTTCACATTTTAGATATATAGATATGTTAGATATGTTAGGTGTATTAGGTATATTGGATATATTAGATATATTAAATATATTAGATATATTAGGTATATTAGATATATTAGATATATTAGATATATTAGATATATTAGATATATTAGGTATATTAGATATATTAGATATATTAGGTATATTAGATATATTAAATATATTAAATATATTAAATATATTAGATATATTAGGTATATTAGATATATTAAATATATTAAATATATTAAATATATTAAATATATTAAATATATTAAATATATTAAATATATTAAATATATTAAATATATTAAATATATTAAATATATTAAATATATTAAATATATTAAATATATTAAATATATTAAATATATTAAATATATTAAATATATTAAATATATTAAATATATTAAATATATTAAATATATTAAATATATTAGATATATTAGATATATTAAATATAGTAGATATATTAAATACATATATATATATGATGATATATAATCCCACGAAGGGCTGATTTTTTAACCAGTAAGAAGAAGGCGCCGAGTGAAAAATATTACATACTCGAAAAAGTGATGTTTTTATCCTCTACAGAGAAATATTACATACTCGAAAAAGTGATGTTTTTATCCTCTACAGAAATATTACAGAAACCGTGAAAGTTTGGGTTGCGTATTTTAAGGTTTGAAATGGTACTTCGTGAAACGAGTTTCTTGCGAGCAGAATTACCAGAATGAGAAACAGCCGCTTTCGGTGTACGATGCTTTGTAGATAGGGGACATAATTCTTGCAGTTTCCTTCTCCAGTCGTCCCGTAGCCTCGATGTATAAGTAATACCCTGAAAAATAACACATCACGGTTTTGGAACTTTTATCTCTATTGTTGCTAGATTTCCATGCATTTCATGCATTTTATGCATTTCATGCATTTCATGCATATATGGGTTCTGCGAGTTTGTGACAAAAACGAGTGGATGAAATTCGAAGCATTGAAAACATTTTCAAAGAATTTAACATTATTATTACGTTAATTGAATTACACTAATTGAAGTGATTAAAGAGCGACCGAAACGTCTGTTAAGCTCCTGTCTATTGCAATCGGTGCACAAATTTGTTTATACATTATATTATATTATTTACACATTTATATTTATTTATATTTATTACCATGTTATTCACACATTTATATTTATTTATATTTATTACCATGTTATTCACACATTTATATTTATTTATATTTATTATTGCACATTTATTATATTACTCGCGAGGAACGACATTTTATTTCGCATTTAACAAACCCTGATGCAAAAGGTATAAACGAATTAACATTCCGAAATGTTATTAAATTCTATCTGAAATTCTTCCGCAAAGAAATACCTTGAAGTGTTCCACCTTCGATCAATCTCCATATACAATCTCTGTACGGATATCTGAATTCGAATATTTGAATCCTAAAACTGAATTTGAATGTTCGCCGAGCACGTGTGCCGTCGAACGGAACGTGTCTGACCATTTCGCACCGTTTCTACTTATTCCGAGCAGGAACGCGAGCGTAGCGTGCTACAAGTCAATTTTGGAGACCGTGTTTCCCGAGAACATACGTAGCGGTATTTTTACATATTTTTCTGTAAATAAATGTATATTTCGCGTATGGAACAGCGTTCTTACCGCGATTTTTGACCGAAAGGGAGAATGTTACGGTTGACGAAAAGGATATTTTACTTGTTTACTACTTTATTATTTTATTGTTTTGCTGTTTTGCTATTTTGCTGTTTTGCTATTTTGCTATTTTGCTATTTTGCTATTTTACTATTTTGCTACTTTACTACTTTGCTATTTTACTATTTTGCTACTTTACTACTTTGCTATTTTGCTATTTTGCTATACTCTGCTATTTTTCTATTTTGCTATTTTGCTATTTTCCTACTTTACTACTTTACTATTTTGCTATTTTGCTACTTTACTACTTTGCTATTTTGCTATATTTTGCTATATTTTGCTATATTTTGCTACTTTATTACTTTGCTATTTTGCTATATTTTGCTACTTTACTATTTTGCTATTTTGCTACTTTACTATTTTGCTATTTTGCTACTTTACTACTTTGCTATTTTGCTATTTTGCTATTTTGCTATTTTGCTACTTTACTATTTTG